ATAATGAGAAATATGTGTATAATACTACTGTTAAATGAGGAAGTTATGTATACAGATAGCTCTCCTCTATCAGTCCGGCTCCAAGATGTGCCCATATCCTGTGTATTTTTAAAGACATGATGGCTGTCCTGATTAGATGACCTCCGTACACACAGTGACTTCCACAATGTGAAGGAAGGCCTTCTACTCTGTCTAATCTGGCTAACAGAATAACAATGCACATGATGTATTTGATTTTTTTCAGCCAATGAGAGATTCTCACTTTATTACAAACTCTAGTTTTTAACTTATTTCATTTTTGCCCTAAGTTGCTATATCTGCTCTAAAACAGCTGTGTATATTTTTATTCATCAGATTAGAAATAGAATTCAAGAACTCACTCCAATAACACTTGTTTAACAAACTGAAGTAAGCTAAGCATCTCACCCTGATATAAATCCAAGAAACTATTGGAGACAAAATCCCCCTCAGCTATCAGTCTTGAAGGAGTACAAAGTGATCTGTATGGGTCGATGTCCAGAAATGGAGAAAAAAACAGAAGTCCATCCTAAATCTTTGTTTTACCATTTATTTTACCAGACAGGATAATAAAGTTGCATTAATTTATAAGTCCTAAAAAAGCCCTGAAAACCAAGAGAGGACATAAAAGCTCATCTCACATTTAAACACAGGAAGCATTCTAGTAAAAGAACGTCACACTGACAAAGAAACATTGCAGTGATAAGGTGATGATTTAAGACTGATTGTATGACAGAAAACCATGACTGTCTCGTCCTCAGGCACTTCTGTTATAAAGCAACGCAATGATCCAAAGCACAGCAGCAAGTCGACTTCCGAATGGCTCAAAATGAATTTAAATGGAATAGTCAAAGAGGGGACTTAATTTGAAATCAGGCAATGTTCAAGATTCTGTCATGAGTGGCCAATTAGTTCATCGCAAGGGTTGGATTCTTCCTTTGGTAAATGAGTTATCATTAAATTAAAACTATATTTGGTCATATATTTAAGTTCTTTTTGACTGTCAGTAACATTTTTCCTTTGTCTCAAATATATAAATGTTAAAAGAAAGTAAGGGGGGAAAAAATCTGTGAGGAGGCAAATACTATTTTATGGGACTATAGACCAAGATATCTTCAAATTAGACGGTATTCAGTTTTAATTTCCCATTTTTTACCTTCCCTAAAAGTGCTTTTTTTTGACCAAGTTTTTTCACCATATTTTTTTTTCATCAGAGCTTAATGAAACCGTAATTTGTACCAACGCCCACATGGACGTCATCATTCCAAGTGCTTTTTTCCTCAACAAGGTGCCTCCAGTTTATGTAAGCAAAACTGTCCAGTTTTTTTCTATCAGCTCACAGGCCTGTGATCATAAGCCAACATGAAGGGGTGCGTTTTGCTTGAAAATAACATTTTTGTTTTATTATGTTTTTCCCCATAGGTTGAGGATTTGCATCTAAATGATCCAGAATGTCGTGGAGAGGAGATCGGGGACGACTTTGTTTTTAGCATAAGGACAAATCTCTCAGACTGTGGGACCATAATGGTAGGACGTTAAACCTGCTGAGAATTCCTCTTTTAAAGCCCAGAAGTTTTCTTGGTCAGGTTGAATTTGCAGCCATCCGATTAATCAAACGCCACACGTGAGCCCAGACATTTAGAACAGCTCCTTACAAATGACTCAACTTTAACTGCTATGGAGACAAACTGCACTTGGTATCGGCATAATAGGCAACATAAAACTGCCACTGTAATATATTTTCTATTTTATGAGGGCTACCTTTGTTCTTGGGGCCAGTTCTCATCTAATTAGGGTTGATTTAGCAGCAACTAGCTGCAGTATTATTAACAGGATTTTGATTTGTATAACTAACACAGCAAGGTTAAAAAGACAAACAAATAGAGGCATAAATTAACTATTGAATGAGGAGAAAAGAAAAAAGGACTCTTTTTTCATCAGGAATAAAATGTGCTGTTTTCCATTACTCAAACCAGGAATAAGACCTTGAATGTCTATATATAATTTCATGAAATGCACCGATTATTTGTGGGGGAGTGGTGGCCTAGTGGTTAGGACAAAAAGCTTGGAATCCTCAGGTTCTGAGTTCGAGTCTCACTGCCACTCTGAGTCTCTGAACAAGACCCTTAACCCCCAATTGCACCCCACGATGGCAGCCCACTGCTCCCCAAGGGGATGGGTTAAATGCAGAGATAAATTTCTCCAATATGAGATCAATAAAGTTAAATTATCAATCATTATTAAAGTTCACTGAATTGGAAGGTGGGAAAGCACAAACCGTTTCCAGTTGTTTTTATGAGCTTTAGAGAGCTCTAAATCCCTGCTGCGGCATTCAGTTCTTAAACTGCTCACTTGGAATGTTTTAAGGTTTGTTAAAAAAAAAGGAAGCCAAAGGTTAAAGCAGCTTTTATCGGGGAAGCAAACCCTGCCAGCGCTCCACCTCGGTGTTTTATAAGGTTCCTGCACAGCAGCTGACGAAAGTAAGCCTGCACACAGGATTATATGTTTCATTTTACAGCTGCTGCAGCTGTCAGTGCTGCTTTCACCTTGACCAAACCGCTTTAGAAACTTCGTTGTCTGGAAAGAGAAGATGGGATGTTTAGGTTGATGGGTTACGTATTTTCATTGTAACATGAATGCAGCCCTGCTTACGTCCTCTGTGATATTTCATTGTGGAGCCTTTAAATCTCTAATAAGAACCAGAGGGAATTTGATTCTCAGTGTGAGAGATGTAAGTAGTTCTTATGGTTTGCTTTAAAGCAATGTTTCCAATATCTCACAACAGAGGTGTTAAAATATATAACAGGATGATCTAAACAGTGATTTATTGAGCTTGAATAGGACAGACCGAAAAAAATATGACTATTAATGAAATTTAAGGTCATTTAAACATCTTTTTTTTTATTATTTTTGTTGTTGTTTTTGTTTTTTTACAAATATGCAATAGCCCCTCTGAACCAACACTTTGTTCAAAACACTCAGTGCAAAAGGTCAGTTTGCCATGTCTCCGTCATATCGAATAAAGATTGTTAGCTTGATTTAGATCTGGTCTTTGACTAGGCCAATCTCTTCATGTATCCCATTTTATTGTAGCACTGGCTGAATGTTAAGTAAGGAATACATTCTTACCAAAATTCTGACCATCTGGCTTATCAGTGCTGAAGAAAAACTTCCCCACATCATCATACTGTCACCACCATGTGCCATTATAGGATAGGTTGCTCATTGTGATGTACAGAGTTAGGTTTCGCCCTCTATATTGTTCTCGGTTGTTGTTTTATTTAACTAGAGCAGCATCTTCCTCATGTTTACCTTATTACCAGCATGACTTACGGCTACTTCTGCTGACTTCCTGCCTCTTTTCCATAAATTACAGATTAGTGGAGCCTCATCTGTTATTCTCCATCTTCCCTTAAAGGAATAGTACACCCAAAACATGATTAGCCTTCATTTTCTACTCACCCCCATGCTGAACAACACTCTGGAGTACTTTTTTGATATCTC